TGTGTGTGTGTGTGTATGTATGTGTGTGTGTGTGTATATATATATATATATATAATCTCCATGGGATACTTGATCCTCCTATTCACATTTTAGAGATGACAAACTGAGCCCCCAAAAGATGCTACATGACTTTCCCAGGGCCCGACAGCTTCATAGGAGGTGGAGGCAAGAGTAGGACCCTTGGAGTATCTGATGACAAAGCAGAGTCCACAGTCTTCACCTCAGGGAGCATGGGGGATCCGGGGTGAGGAGACTCCAGCTCCAATACTGAGGGTGATACCCTGGACGACCTTATTCTCTGTCCTTTCAGTGTCTTTAGGCATCAGCCCCTTATTTCCTGTCCTCATCTCACCAGGACACTCCACATGCAAAATGGTAAGTTCTTCAGAAAATAAAATGTATTTGAAAAATAAAAAATAATATTAAAAATCTTACTAGTCCATTTGCCCTATGCAACACAAGTGACCATTGTAATATTTCATTTCCTGGGCAGACGTCTCTGATAGGCTTATTTTAGCTCCTAAGTGGAATTGTTGAAGACTTTTCTGCAATTAAAAAAATATATATGTTTATAAGTCTCTGATGTGGCATGATTGTATTTTTCACACTTGCAATTTCTTTACAGAAATGATTCTGAACTCCAGACTAAAGCTGGCCCATGTCACTCAGTTGTTTAGAAAAGTCATAGAGGAAGTGCTCTTGCAAAACTTTTTTAATAGCTTCTCTTGAATTTGAAAATGAATTTCCTGTCTTATTTTTGTCTGCGACCCAAAGGCAGCAAACACAATGCACAGAGCCAACAAGTGCATTGGCGGAACTGCGCAGGGCAAGAATCAGCCAGACCAGGAGTATAAAAGGCCTGACATAGATACAGAAGCATGGAACAGATTGTCTGTTCCATCTCAGAGAGAAGGAGGGGGTGGGTGTGTGAGTGGGTGGGAAGAGATCAACCGTGGTCACCCCAATCCAGTGCATGGGCACCCCTGAGTCCCCTGCCCTGGCAGACGGCTCTTCGGACGCTTGGTTCGCACGTATCCAAACACGGGTGCACGGGCACATGGCCCCGGCAGTAGAAACTCAGACTTCCCCCTTCTCCGATGCCTGCCCACAGACACAGTGGTCACGTGGTATGAGCAAACAGGTCCCCTGAGTCTGCCCCCCCGAGCAGGCTGCTCCTGGGTGCCTCTGTGAACAGCCGCTGGACGCACTCATATCCAACCAAGAGCTGAAGACCCCGGCTTCAGAAACTCATACTTCCCTCTCCTCGACTGCAGACTTCTGCTCACCGCATTCGCACCGATTCAGCACAGAGGCACCGAGCCCCAAGACCCAGTGGCGGCTCACAGGTAACTCTCTGAGTCACCGCAAGGCACGACCCTGCCTCCAGCATCCAGTCCCCACAGTAGCGCCGCTTCAGCATGCAAGGCCCCTGAACCCACCACCCTAGCAGACAGCTCCTGGGTGCCTCTGTAAGCCACCCCTGGGCGCACGTATCCAACTAAGGTAGCACAGCTCCCCAAGCAGAAACTGGGACTTGTCCTTCTCCAGGTCAGTTGCACATCACGATCTTGCAGCTCCAGCGTGTAGGTCCCACAAGCACACAGACCCAGCAGATGGCTCCTGGGCCCCTCTGTGAGCTGCCATTGGGTGTGTGCCTCTCCAACCAAGGGCGCAGGGCTCCCTCAACAGGATCCACGATATGCCCCTCCCAGATGCCTCCCCCTGGACACCTTGGTGAGTTACTGAGGTCCCTCCTCCCCCACAAGGTCATATTGTTTCAGCCACAGACTCCGAGATTCCCACAACCCCAGCTACTGACTCCTGAACCCTCTCGTGATTTAGAGAGAGAAATCACTTTGGCCACAGTCCCACTGCCTCAACCACAGACTGTAGGACAGCCGCCTTTGACCGTCATGGGCTCTAGAACCCTCCTAGTGAGTTATAGAATGACGCTACCCCAGCAAGAGTCACACTACACCAGCCAAAGTCACAGTATCTGAGCCTCAGGCCCCGGGCTCCCTCAACAGGATCCACGATATGCCCCTCCCAGATGCCTACCTCTGGACACCTTGGTGAGTTACTGAGGACTTTCCTCCCCCACAAGGTCATATTGTTTCAGCCACAGACTCCGAGATTCCCACAACCCCAGCTACTGACTCCTGAACCCTCTCGTGATTTAGAGAGAGAAATCACTTTGGCCACAGTCCCACTGCCTCAACCACAGACTGTAGGACAGCCGCCTTTGACCGTCATGGGCTCTAGAACCCTCCTAGTGAGTTATAGAATGACGCTACCCCAGCAAGAGTCACACTACACCAGCCAAAGTCACAGTATCTGAGCCTCAGGCCCCAAGACCAATTTCTCTCAAGCCCGTGGACTTTGGGAACTCATAGTGAGCACATACCAGTGAGACCTCAGGCAACCCTTTCCACAAGAGCTGGAACCACAATCACATCCACAATAGCTTGGACAACGAAATTGGGGGTGAGTCACATTGCCAATCTGTGATGAGACTTCATCCACGAATAAGAAATTAACATTCAAGACCCAACTACATCAAGAGAACCCAATAGTTCAAGTAAGGGCCTCCACTATATCACCAAACACAGGAGATCTGAGAGACTGCACCACTGGGTCCCCAAAATCACCAACTATATAGCACCACCTCCAAAAGAACCTGGGTAGCAAAGCAGTTGGATCTAAGACATAGAAACAATTAAAACATTAATTGTTTTAAAAAATAGAGAGACATAAAAACAATCCCCAAAGGAAAGAAAAAAAAATCACCAGAAAGGGAATTGAATGAAATGGAGGCAAGTAACTTGTCAGAGAAAGAATTCAGAGTAATGGTTATAAGGATGCTCAAACGTCTGGATGACAAATAACCACAACTCAATGAGAAGTATAAGAAGAAGCATAAGAATGTCACCAACACGAAAAGGAATCAAGAGGAAATGAAGAATGACATTAGAAAACATAATAGAAAACTTCAATAGCAGACTAGAAGAGGCTGAGGACCACATCAGCGAATTAGAAGACAAGGTAGGAAAAAACACACAAACAGAGCAGCAACAGGAAAAGAAACTTGAAAAGCAGGCGGAGACCTCAGGGAGTTTTGGGACAACAAGAAAGGAAACAACATCTGCATAATAGGGGTGCCAGAAGGAGAGGAGGTGGAGAAAGGAATAGAAAACCAGTTTGAAGAAATAATCACAAAAAACTTCCCTGATGTTGAGAAGAAAAAAAATAACCATACAAGTCTACAGCTTTTTCAGAAGAAGAAAGTTGATCTGGTATTTAATTAGGGTCTTAAACTTTGTAATTTCTAACTACAATATAATGACTCTTCATCATTTATAAGAAGCTACTTCAAAATGTGATAAGACTTTTAAAAAATGCTAAAAACATTTTTATAGAATTCCTATATATTATTTTTTTAAGTTAAAAAGAAATTGAGAACAGATCATCCCTTATACCAAGGATCCCAACATATTTTAAAATGTGGCTACAAATAATTCCTACTA